GGGGGGGGGGGGGGGGAACTCCATGGATAATCCAGTAAGCTGCCTGGTTTATTTAAAAGGCAGGTTCCAGAAACTCAGATGCACAGGAGGTTTTTCACCATGAGAGTTGCTCAACATTTGGGTACCAAACCGTGGTTACTGACATGATTTGGGGGGGGGGAATAAGAGAAGTACTGAAGGATACTGACCCACAAAACGCAAAACCTTGAAAGTTCGGCATATTGCCGTCTGAGCCACGTCTTTAGGATGGTTTAGCAGCTATGCTCCCACTGTCGCCTCCACTCCGGGGCAGTTTGTTAGAATCCTCATGGTGTTTTTATTCAAGATTCTGCTACCTTCAAACCTACTCAACTGGCACCGCAGCCCAAGTGGTTTGGGAGCCAGAAGGTGATGTAAAGCCACTCAAGAAGTCCTCAGTGCCTTTAGCTCCCATCAGTAAATGCTCAGCCCTTGAAGTCATAGTATATGACTTCATATCCATTACTTCTATAGCATGTGGCACTTCCTATCCACAGTATATGAGTTCTTATCCATTACTTGTGTATAGCACTTCCTATCCATTACTTCCAGCACTTCCCAGCCATTACCAGTCAAGAAGTTCACAGGGGCTGTAAAAGGGGTGCTAGGGCTGAAGAACTGCCCTGATGCACAAGCAGCTAACATAAGAAGAGGTCCCATGCTGCTCCCATTATATTCCCAAGCTGAAGGGAGTTGTAAATATCCTGTTCTATGAGAGCTCCTGGGTTGAAATGAAAGGCAGCTCACAGGCAGGGCAGCTAAGGCTTAAAACTACTATCTACTGGTCAGCTAGCAAGGAAGTGGGAAGCGGGCTCCTTGTGACTAATGGACTTCAGTTGGGCTAAGTGCTTAGCTCCAGTGCAAGGGCCGCACAACTCATTACGAGAAAGGAAAGGTGCAAACACACGCATACACGTGTGTGCGCACCCATACAGGCTTTGTGTCAACCGAGAAGATAAAGAAGGCATTTGTTACGTACCCATCTCCAAGGCTGAAGCTGTTTGGAGAACTGTTGTAACTCGGAGATGGAGCATTGTTCATTTGATAAGGCACGTCTGGCCATGGAGAGCACTGTTTGAACAAAGCCAATGGGGACACTGAGCACAGAACACTGCCACAGGATTCTCCTTTTACATCACTGATATGCTATTGCCACTCTATTCACCCCTGCCGAGGAGAAGGATGTGGCCCACAGATGCTCCCCCCTGTGCTCAACAAATTCCTTCCCATTATGCATTTCCCCTCCCTCCCATCTCCCTTCCCACAAAGCTTGTCTTGGCTTAACACCCAACCAAACGGGGCTCTCCCAAGTCAATTCAGATCGAAGGCTGGAACTGTCCAACGATACAGAAATAACCCAGCTGGGAGACTCGAGTTTCAATTATAAATCCTCAAACTACAGCAACAAAAAGGAACCAGAAGCACTTTGCAATATTTGGCCTGATGCATTCAAAACGCAGGCCTGTGCTATCAGCAGAGGAAGTCAGGTTATAGAAGCAGGTTGTTACAAGAAAATCCCAGTTAGACACAAGCAAAGCTGCTGAAGACCTTTGCAAACACACATGCAAACAAACAGATGAGTCAGGGGAACTACAGTTAGTTCCCCTGGACTGACACTGGTACAACTCCACTGAAGGCAGTTGCTTCATTCTGGATTTACACCACTGTAATCAGTAGCAGAATCTGGCCCTGTTTGATGTCCACTGTGGAATACCCCTGTTTACAATGATAAAGAGGAGACTTTTTTTTTTGTGGCATTCCTGGGAGTTTTATCACCTCCACAAACAGCTTTGGCAAATATTTAACTCTTGAACAACCAGAGCCAGAGGATTTTCTGATTCAATGTGTCAAAGTGCACTGGCGCTAACAGAAAGAGCCCCGGGATGGGTCAACCCTGTAGGATTAAGTCTCTGTGCACAAAGATCTTACTGGAAAGGACTATTCAGCATTATAGGACAGGTTACTTAGAATACTATTTCCACCTCCCCTCCCCCTGCTTAATGAATGGGGAGAGGGTTGTTTTTACTATCGGGAGGGAGAAAGACCCAGCTCGGAAGCAAAATCCCCAGGCATCCCTCGAGCAGCAAGTTTGAAGCCCGCTGCACGCTGATGTGCAGCACCTGGATTACGGGAAGACGAAAGCCTCCTTTAAGCTGTATCCCTGCAGGATGCAACTGGAGCATCCACCCCTTTCAGAACGAAGCTGATCAAAACCAAATTCAGCGTCATGGGTTGTGAAGTATATTCATGCTAGAACAGAAATTACCAGCTGGAGCAGGTAGGCTGTTTATCCATGCCAACACTGCATCTCTGATGCTGGCTGGTACCAGATGAGGCAGAGGAAAGCATAAGCCATTTCTTAGGCAACTACAGAGGGGAGTGATAATGGTTGTGAAGGACAAAAGGGAAGGGATGGGGGGCAAAGGAAGATCATGCATCCCCAACTCAAGCAGTTTATGTCCTGAAATTTTAGTGTCCAATATCTCTCTTTTTTTTTCTTTTTTTTTCTTTTTTTTTTTAATTCCTTCTAGTGTAATTTTGCTAAGCTCTTGGTCTCCAATAAGTGCTCTTAGTATCAGTCTCCACTAATTGAACACCATTTAAAACCTAAGCTACTTGAGTCAAACATGTTGCCCAAATGCAACAGGATGGTGTCAGGTCATGCATGGACCATCTTACCTCCGTGAGAATGGTCGTTTCATAAGAAGGCTGATATTTCTCCTTCTCCTGTGCGGTCTTCTTCTCCATTTTCTCTCTGTCAGTCTTCTGTTTCCTGTCAGCCCCTTTAGGCTATAATCACAGAGCACAAGCATTTCCTTATGCCAAGTACTACAGGGCTGGTAACAGAGGGCCACAGGTTTTGTTTCATCTGCGTACAAAAGTCTTGTTGACATCTATGGGCTTTCTACACATGGAAGGAGAGCAGGACAAGGCCTGTATTTTTCAAGCAGCCATTTAAAACAAGACTCTCTCGTGCCTAACACATGCTTTGATCATTCCTGTAGCCCTTCCGACACATGCCAAGGGTAAAAAGTAGCCCCTGTGATTGGACGCCGGCTACTTCAAGGTGCGAATCTGAGTTAGGAGGGTCAGTAAACATTGGCGCAAATTCTATGGGAAACCTCAAAGTACAACAGCCAATGCTAAACTCCCTCCATCAAGGAGGGGATGCAGATTCAGTTTGGACCCCTACTTTAACGAGTCACTCCATGGAAGGGTAACAGCTCATTCTAAGTTAGCTGCTCTGCTATGCAAGGAGGTGAGATCCTGGCTCTGCTCATTTTCCACTCCACTGGATAGGAAAGCAGGGGGCCACTTACTGAAGCATCAGTTCAGTGAAACCAGTTTGGGAAGCAGTCATGCTCCTAACCTCAGGGAAAAGCAAGACCACTCGGAAGGACTCCCCTCCCATTCTTGACTACCTAGTTGCAAATCTAGAGAACTCTACTGAACCCACTGGAAATCACTCTGGATTTATACAAGAACAAGTTGCTAGGTGCCTGGATGCTTAATAATATTTTATACACACACGCACACACACACGGTATTGCCTTTTGAAGCATAGCAGAATTAGCAATAAAGATGGTGTTTATTCTAAGCCATATAATTATGTACGTCTTATATCCTATATACGCACACACACACCTCTAAAATTTTATATATAATGTTTTATATAATCTATAATTTAATATATATTATATATTTGTGTATGCATGTGTGCACACACACACGTTGAATTATAGATGCTATAATATTATATAGCATATAAGCCATATATAATTATATGGCTTAGAATAAAATACTATCTTTACAGCTAGTTCTGTTATGCTGCAAAAGACAATACCTCTTGGGAGTTAAGCCACCTTCGATATAACAGTTTCATTCTGCATATGGGCACCTTCTCATGGAGTTGTCATTCCCAGCACCACAGCAAGAAGTTTTAAACATCTTACAAAACAGCACCTAGCTGCAATCTTCTCTCTCACATTTCATGGGTTATGGAATGATCCATCTCCAAGGTCATGAATCTAATCAGAGGCATGACCTAGATGCACAGCATGCTTTGTATTGCTATGGTACCAGGACGTTCGGCCCCTTCACTCCCAGGAAAAAGTTCCCTTGGAAGAGCTGGAGAGTCACCAGTTTAATGGCTTTCTTCCTGGCTCTATTCTTGTAATGTAAGCAAGACTAGCACAAACATTTTGAAAACCTCGAGTCCTGCAAGATCAACATCCCCCCCATCTCACCCCCAAGACAACTCAGGCAAGTCAGAACTAGCCCATACCTTGAACACTTTGATCTGACAGCTTGCCGAATGCAAGTGCTCTGTATATTCGCCATTCTCGTTCTGTTTAAAGGTGTCAATTTGTACCCGGAAGGGCACTCCTTTCTCCCCGCCATGTTTCCGTGGCGTGAATTCTGTGCTGATACAATGTACCTGGAAAAAGAGATTGTGTTTGTAATAGACTGGGTTAAGGAAAGCCTGCACCACCCCGAAGTTTGGGGATCTAAGGCAGTGGTTCTCAACTGCACTTCTTAGATTTGAGGTACGCCCCTCAGAAAATGCCAACTCTTAGGGTTTTTGCTCATTTTTTTGACTACAGAAAAGAACTACAACCATGAATGCTGCATGCCCCCAGAAGCTGGGGGGGGCACAGCGACTGCCTGCAGGCGGTGGTGGTGGTGGCGGCAGTGGGAGTGTAATAGCAGCAAGCGGGGAGCTCCCGCAGGCGGTGGCGGGAGCGTGGCAGCGGGGAGCTCCAGCAGGCGGCCACAGCAGTGTCGGCAGTGGGGGTGGGGGGGGATTATGGATTAGCATTATGGATTCCTATTTGAAATCTCTGGGTTTATCTTGTGAATCACGTTTGCACATTCAACAGTGCTAACGTTGCATGCCATGTTGGGCACCCTTGAAAAGCTATCAAGGCATCCTCGCATGCCATGGCACCCTGGCTGAGAATCACTGGCTTAAGAGGACAGGGTTGCAAATGGATGAGACAATCGCATGCAGATTCATCAAAGCAATCAAAGTATTTCTCTTGCATGCACTTTGGCTCCTGTTTCAGTCTCCGCTTCTATCAAGCATCCCACGCTACAGACTGTCAGCACCACTATTTATTCCTTACCTGAATGAATGCTGACGCTCTCTTTGATGGATCCCACAGAAATTCAACAGTGTTCAGCTGGGTTGGACTGGCTCTGGGATCCAAGATGCCAACTGACAGGGGGATATCTGTAGGAGAAAACCCCTAAAATGTTGTAAAAAATATCAAATTGAAGCAGAGAAGCAGAGTTTCAGACACACAACGAGACCCATGTGAACAGCCAAGCCAACCAGTGTTATCTCATTTTAAACCAATGCGGTTGGGGGGTGGTTTCCAACCCCAGACGTACCATTTTTTAAGCAATAATGAAATATGTGGCTTCTAAACACTGTACAGGAAACACAATGAAATAGTCTCACCTATGTCAAGGATGCGGTCCCCTGGACGACTCCATCGCCATCCTTCCAGCTGCTGGTGCTCCGTGTACTGCAGGCGCCGGTCGTGGAAAACTACACGAATGATGCTCTGTTAAGAAAGGAGGGCAGGAGGAATGAAGTAATCCAGAGGCTCTGGTTGGGAGGGGATTTTGGTTTCCCCACTGGCAAGTCTGATCTGTTCTTCCTACACGTTTGTTCTGGAGGAGAGCAGTGTCCCATGAAAGTCACCCAGCTCCACATCTGTCCGATTTCCAACAAGACCGCTGAGACTTGCTTCCACAAGGCAATGCTCTCTTTGCACTTCGCAGAGACCTTGTCAGTTGGAATTTGCCCTAATTCCGGCAACAGATGGTCCGTCATTGAGGCAGGCCTTCTCCAGTGCTGCTACTCAAGTATAGACTGGGAAAGCCTCTGTTTACAATCAGGAGAACTTTACCCCAGCATCACTTGAGGTGTGCACCAGCAAGGCTACGTCAATGGTCGGCAACAAACCAATTGCTGGAATCAGGACAAGTGCCCAGTGCGGACAAAGCCAAAAACAGCAGTAGCACCTAGCACTAAATGTCTTCCTTTGCATATTCAAATTGATACACTAACATGAGCCAAGTACCCCTCACCTCCCAGTTTCCAAGTGAAGTCCATTTCCTTGCTTTGACCATCTATTCAGGATGGAAGCAAGAGATGCATTTTTTCATATGATCTAGAGAAAGGCCCAAATCGGACCCTAAACCCAAGCACCACAATCTGAAAGAAGCCAGAAGTGCAAAATCTGAATCCAGATCCACATTTTGCAAGTTCTTCCTGTTTTTTATGCTGCTCATTATAGCACACCTAAATCTGCCTAAACTAGGGAGATGTTCTAAATCCAGATCTGGGTCCAAATTTTGCACGCGTGCACCCTCTCTTCCCCTCAGAAGAAAAACCTGGATCACTCCAAACAAGAGTTTGGGTGAGGAAGGTTTGATATCATTACAATACCTGGATCCAAGATTTTGAGTGGCCCTGTTTTGTTCCCCCCAGTCAAATCCCCAGGACCAGAACCAACTTCTGTACTTTGTGGGCTGGGCCCACGCCAACGTGAACAAAGTCTTGTGAAAAATGGAGTTTGTCCTTCTGAGGGCACATCTCGGCACAGGTCTATTGATCGTGGGGCCAATTTATAGCTTTGCATGGGTTAGACAGGAGACACTGCGACTCTTAAATGGTATTGACCCCCTTTAGCCTTGAATTTTGGGATTCATTTGAACCCAAAGCTCAATGAAACTCTAAGGACATGACCAGGGCCAAATGAAAAGCTTACAGGAAACCCCACAAAGCCAAGACTGCAGAGTCCCACAAATCTCTATGGTTCATGAGTCAGGCCTTCAGTCCCATTTTCATTAAACACAATGGCAAGATATCTCCCATTGTCTTCAATGTAAGCAAGGCCTTGCCTTTTATTGGTATCTGTATGTAGTAGCAGGAAGAAAAGAAATCTATATTTCTCCTTACCTTTACATATTTTGTGTTTAAATCTTGAAACTCTCCCACTTTCCTATTCTCAAGTAGACGGATTTCATAAGACTGACCTAGAGTTTAAGGAAACATTTCCAAGGTGTTTAGCATGTTGTAGCAATGAGAGAGAGTCATGCTGGCATTTATGTTGCTAATAAAGTATTAGATTGATCAGGGAAAGCTCATTCTTGGCAACATAAGCTTGTTTGTCCCACTAATGGGTAGGCCTTAAAGCCAGGTAGATGTGGGGGGGGGGTAGTCTCATGGTTAGGGCACTTGGGCTGGCGATGAATAGATCTGGGTTCATCTTCCAGCTCTTCCACAGACTTCCTGATGACTTTGAGAAAGGCACTTCATCTTCCCATGCTTTCGTTCACCTATGCAACATGGGAGAAAGCAGCATTTCCTTTGCCTCATCTGTTTAGTCTAATCGTTCGCAATGGGGACTGTCCCTCCTGAACAGCTAACGCAACGGGGCCTCTTCGCTCTACTACAGTGTGAGCGGGGATAGTTTGGGTCTGATCTTGCACCCCATCCACTTCAGTAGGACTTGAACGTGGCCTTCTGCCATACAGTTCTTGGTTCTGACACTCATCCTGCAGGACCAACGATGGACACTGCAACTTATACAGCAATGCCTTGCTGTCCCTAGGAGGGATGCTGCCAAAGCATTTGTTTCTGCATGCATTAAAGAACTGCCAGTACATCCACAGTGGCAGCATATAGGACTGAGAGCAAGATGTAGAAATTACAGGGAACCTAGAGATACCAGAACCTGGACCTGCAATAAACCTGTTGCATGCAACCCATCTGCACCGAACCAGTGCCTGGAACAAAGGCAGGGCAGTGTCAATACAGTAAAAGGAGGAAGTAGATACCCAATATAGCCAGTTTTTCCAGTTTGTCTTGCCATCCCCTTTTGCTGAAGAATGCAGCTGAAAGTGGAACAAGGCAGGCCCTCAAATGGCAATCGCTGCTGATTTTCCAGCTTAACCTGTGTTACCCTCCAAAGGAAAAAAAAAACCAAACCCCTATGAACAGATGCATCTCCCTCAAAGCAGCTGTCACTCATCGGCGGGAAAAAATGCTACATGTCTGGATTTGAATCCGGGAAAGGCAGACATGAGATAACAGGTACAGCATTTGAACAGAGAGCCTTGAGACTCGTGGCGGTTCCAGCTGGCATTGTGCAAAGGGGCAACATCTAAACATCACAGGAGCTCGGGGTAATGAAGCTTGTTCTACCGGCAAAATAGAAAGGCTGGCCACGTTCTAGCCCCAGCGTTTGCACCAGACACCCAAGGCTGACAGTGAAGACCCATAAGCAGGATACAACCCTGGCATCCAGCAAGTGGCTAGAGGGGGGGAAAAAATGGTAAAGATGTAAGTGGCATACAGCGTTCCAAAATCGTACCGTATTTACTTAAATCCAAAACGTGGTTTCTTCCCTCCCAACCAGCACAAGGGTGGGGAGGATCCGAGCACCTTCCTGGGGCACGTGGCACCTGACCTCCACCTTTGGCCCCAGGCCCAAGCTGGAGCTGAACGGTCACGTGCTCTGGGCTGCAATGGCTTATTTAGCAGGGAAGGGGGAGAAAGCTTGGAGCCTCCCCCACTACCTCCTCCTCCTCTCCCCTACACATCCCCCCACTTTGCCTTCTGCTTTGGCTCAGGTACTTCCAGCACCAACCCTGCCCAGCCAGAAGTTTCCATTGCTTTTTCTGGCTGGGCAGGGCAGGGCCATACTGCTGCTGACGTCGCACAGCGGGAGTAAAGTTGCGGCAGAAAATAAGGGTGGGGGGCAAGGCAGGCAGAGGCAGGGAGGAAGGGGAAGGGGGCCAGCTGCAGGAGGGAGCAGGGAGTGGGGGAGACAGCTGCCCATTGCCCTGGAGGAGCAGAGCTGCTTCAGAAGCAAAAGGGGGAAAGGGACAGGCATGGGGAGGGGCAAGAGCAAGGGGCAGGGATCTAGACCCTCATCCTCCCCACCGCATCAGTGGGGTGGAGGGAAGGGACATTTAAGACACCCTACCACTAATTAGATTCTATAAATGAAAAGTAATAACACATTTATAAAATTTTCCATGTACAGAAGCTAATTAGTGGAAGGTTGCCTTAAAGTTGAAATGGGCTTGGATGTGGGTAAATACGGTATGTGCAACTTTTGGAAATGTGGGCCAAAAGCACCTGGTTTACTTTCAATAGAAACTCGGTCTCGCCACAAGAGCGCAGGATGCTGGACCTGGGGTGGCTGGCATTTGTACGAAGGAAGATTAGCGTGTTCAGCAAGTTTAAGAGTTCCCCGGAAAACAATGGCGAGCTAGATGCCTTTTATAGGAGTCCGGGCAGAAGCGCCAAACACACACTTGACTTTAAGCAACAGAAACTCCACTGACTTTCAAGTTAAGCATGCATTTAACTGGTTTGTGGGATTAGGACCTTTCCCGTCCTCCTTGTTTAACACACCTCAAATTCTCTCCATATAAAAACACCTCCCTCCTCCATGCTCAGGTTCATTTCCAGATACATTTGAGTAATTTAACAGAAGACAAGGGGGAGAAATTGCAAATGGGAAGGAAAACGGGCAAAGGCCATCTCCCTATTAATACGCACATTATGAGGGATCACAAGCAGCCCAGCATGAAGTGCCCAGCAAGTGCCAATGCAAAACCTGCAAGGGCACTTTCTACTGTAATTCACACCATCACTGAAACAACCGTGCAAGACCAGGCAGGAAATGCACTTCACCCACACACCTGGAAGCAGCCAATTCGGGGTCTCTCTACCCCCATGTGCCAACTGAAACACTGAAATAGAAAGGTTAAGGGATTTGTCCAAATCCATGCATAGGGAGTCAGTGGCAGAGTCAGGAAGAGCACCCAAGACTTTCCAGATCAGAGTCATTAAAAATGAGGGGTGGCAAGGACCTTAGGAGGGCACATCTTGTCCAACCCCCTACTCAAAGCAGCACCATCCCCAACTATATCATCCCACCCAGGGCTTTGTCAAGCAGGGTCTTAAAAACCTCCAAGGATGGAGAGTCCACCACCTCTCTGGATCACCTGTTCCAGTGCCTCCCCACCCTCCTAGTGAGAAAAGTTCTTCCTAGTATCTAACCCAAACTTCCCTTGCTGCAACTTAAGACCATTGCTCCTTGTTCCATTATCAAATGCTCAGAGTCAAATGCTCAGTGCCCCATAAAAAACCACTTGACACTTACTTAAATATGAGCCGTAGAGGCTCTCATCAACCCCTACTGCACTGGCCTTGTTTGAACTAACCTAACTTGCCCATCATCAGCTTCCATAAGAGAAAAACTTAAGTGGGCCCTGTTCCCTCCAAGCCCTCTTTATATACCAGAACTTTGTACTACAAGCTGTATTGCCTATAGTCCCAGCCTGGTTACCAAACACCGGCCTGAATTTAAAGATCCCCCAAAATCAAAACGATTCTGTACAGATCCAGACCAAAACAAGGGGAAAACAGACATTCTCCCCACATGTAAATCCTTTCCCCACAAAGGCCTGCCACGTTAATATTAGTTGAAACCCAAGGGAAAATGCTTTGTGCAAAAACAAATGGGTTATCAGACTTGAATATCCAAAAACCATCATTCAAAAAGACTTTCCCACAGTAGTCGGTTGGGTTTCAGGCTCTAGACAATTCCTCCGCAGAATACTCGTCAGATAAGAACGTGGCCCGTTGAGTTTCACAAATATTTCTATGGAACGTGCCATACTTCACGTGCTTCCTAAATGTCCTTATGGAACAATTCCCTGCCGCCCCACCCTCGTCCGAAAGCAGGTCTTACACAATCTTGACTACAGGCAAGGTTAGCATTCCTCCACACCCGCCACTATTGGCCTTGATGCTGTGACAGGGCGACTCATTCAGATGTGCCGTCAAATCCTCTCCCTCTGATTCTCCCAAAAAAAACCAACAAAAAACCTTTCCCTTTGTGTTGCAATTAAGGAAGATCTGCATTAGACTTAGTAAGTAGGGGTTAGAGTCTCTTCTCAGTTATGCAAATCTTTTATGTAAATAATAGGAAAAGTATGACAGCAGTAGAGCCCTTATGGCGGTCGCCTGGTTTGCCCTCCCCTAAGAGAGGAGAGCCCCCCTGTAAGATTTGAAAATCATAACCTGGGGGAGTCTCCGATTTTATTATGGCATTGTGATGAGCAGCCCAATTTTATTTGCAGATGCTCACCAAGTGTCAAAGTGCAATTTGAACCCTGGATTCATTAGTCCATGGTCAATGCTACCCTATTATTCCCTGCTATGGATAGAAAAGATCAGATGGGGCTCAGGCACTTTTTACTGCTCTTGTTCAGACCAGCTCCAAGGAAGGTTAGAGGATGCCTGGGGAAATGTGGATACTATTCCTACCAATGAGACAGCTGCACCAGTGAGGGTATTACAATTGCCCATTGATTATTGTGGATGTGGCAAGAATTACCGTTGTGGAAATACTGGATCAAAAGTATTGTTTTATAGACTAGGAATGAAACCTGGCCCTGACTGAAACCAATGCCTATGTCCCCAGTGACTTCAGTGAGAGCCAGGACTTCAACCAAAATCCGAGGTAATCCCAGAGCCATATGAAGTCACTCAAGAATCAAATGGGTGCATATTTACAGCTTTCTATGCATGCTACACCAATCCCTCTGCTACAGATATGAAAAAATAAACAACAACAACTTGGCTAAAGAAACATGGGGGACCAAAATACTGCACTCCAATTCCTAGAACAGACTGCAAGATCCAGGCTAGTGCTGCCACTGAACCCATCTCTAAGGTGAGCTGACTTTTACATGTGAGCACCTCCAGAAGCATAGGAAAGAGTTTTCCCTTAACTGAAGCTATTCATCCATTATCCCAAGGATTACAGATAGGCCCAGAACCACATAAATAGCCCAGAGGCATGCATGCAAGGGCTGACTGCCTAAATCAAGGCCCCCTGCTAAAATAACTCAGCCACATGTTCTCATTGTGGATGAGAACACATGGACCATCTGGTCCCCCATTTACATTTATGAGGAACGACTAAAATAAATAAGGTTATTTAGTCCAAAGA